ATAGAATCTGGTGAATATGTCCTCCGTCATTCCAAAAATGATTTTTAGTTTCCCAACATTGAAAACGTATCAATAGTTTCAGAAAGTGACAAAGTTACCGAAGTCAAGCTATTTTAAGTTTAACATCAATTTAAACTCTTTGAATATTAAATGGAGTATTTTTTGATATAAATTTATTAGATTGAATTATGTCTGAAAGTACCTCATTGCGCGTACGTAACTGACCCACCATGGAGTACTCCCAGACAAATGTCGATATACAATGCTGCTTATGTTTTTTTTTTAATTATATTAGTACAATATTTCAAAGATATCTATCTATCTATCTCCTAATGAATTAATTATTATTTTTTTAAAATCTGGCCGTAATTTTGGATTAACCAAGTGTCCAAACCTATCCCTCTTTATCTTTCACATAATGAGCGTGACAAGGCTGAAGTGACCTCTACAGTGTATTCGAGTGTGTGTGTAGTTTATTATTGCTAAAAATAGTATTAAAAAAAAACAGCACCTGTTTTGCAGGAATGCCATCCTTATGCAAATTTCTTCATCAAAATCATTATGCTCCTTGTTTAGATTCATTTATGTTTATTTATATATTCCTTTATGTTTATTTCATAGTTAGTTTGAGAAAATTTCATTTCAATTCGTTATTCAAGAATGTTCAACGTTATTTTGTCCATGTTTGCAAGGGCGCAGCTTTATTAGTACATCATAAAACTTATTTGGGTACTCGGAAATTTTGGTACCTAATCTTCTTAAAGGCAGATCATTGATGCTTTTCGGAAATTTTGGTTAAATCGTGTCGCCGACCTCGGTACCTGAACGACCCCACAAAACTTGTTTACTATCAAAAGCCGCCCTCTCTGCTACCAATGACAATTTGTCACCCCTCTGGGTTGTAAAGATAATAAATACTTTGTACATAAAAATTTTGATTATTAGGAATCTGTTTTTCATCGTAGTAATATCCCTTTTTGTATATAGTGAATAAATTGTTAAGTTAAACTGTCGTTGTTCTTATTCGTTTCTAATAAGTGCACAGCTTTTTAATTACGGTTGTGCAGCAGTGTACCAGCGCTCATAATAATTTGTTAAAGTACACTGGCTATACGCAATTCAAATTACACTCCTCTTGAAGCTACACATCTTACGACAGAAAAGAAAATTTGTAGAAAAAGAAATTTGCAACTAATAGAACACGATGGAATCAATAGAAACAAAAATGCAATAGACGAAGAAAAGCACAATGTTACAATTGCAGGAAAAACCCTGTTTACACACAGAAAACTTAAATTTTTAAAATAAAAGTTGCGGCACTAGTCTTATCATAAACTAATACTTTTAGGTGTTCTATTCCTATCAGCTACTAATGTAGGTGAGCGGGCATTCCCTCCGAACTACGCCGGAAGGTAGGGCGGAAGGCCCTCTTCAGCCTCCTTTCAGGAATCGTGGGAATGGAGAGGGGGGTTTGGGTGAGAAAAATGAGACGAACGAAATGAAGATAGAAGGGAATGGAAGATTATCTGTGGAATATTACTGCCCCAGCATTTGCCTAAGCGATCCAAGGAAACCACAGAAAAACTTAGACCAAGGCAGAGGAACCCGGAATGGAACCGGCATCCCCCCGAATGCTAAGCAATGGACTGCCTGCTGACTACGTCCAAAGGTAGGGCGAAAGACCCTCTTCAGCCTCCTTTTAGGATTCGTAGGAATGAGTGGGTAATGATTCGAGTGAGAAAGATGAGACGGGCGAAATGTAGACAGAAGAGAATGAAAGATTATCTGTGGAATATTACTACCCCAGCATTTGCCTAAGTAATCCAAGGAAACCACAGAAAAACGTAGACCAAGGCAGAGGAACCCGGAATCGAACCGGCGTCCTCGCGAATGCTAAGCAATGGTCTCTTGGTCATGCCGCTCGGTAGTCTTATAATAGTTTAAGACCACAGAACACACATTCCCAATTAGATAAACCTTCATTTTTAGTTAAATACGTGGACACTAATCTTATAATAGTTTAGGACCATATTGCACAATAAAAGCAATAAAAGATGTCTTCCAATAGAACATTAACATTAGAAATCGCACTAAGAATTTCAACTGATTTCTTGTTAAATGCTGCAACCGTAACGGATATTACTTGACACAAAAACAGCATTCAGTTGATTAATATATTCAATTGCATGTAAAACAACAATAAATATTGTGACCTTTACAGTAAACCACTTGAAGTTTACAAACCCTCCTCCTTTTTCCGGGCTTGGGACCGGCACGGCAATATAAAATGCAGGAATTGCCGAGGCGGAGTTAAAATAATCATAAAGGTATATTGCATACTAAATCTATAAAAATACATTAANTGTCGATATACAATGCTGCTTATGTTTTTTTTTTAATTATATTAGTACAATATTTCAAAGATATCTATCTATCTATCTCCTAATGAATTAATTATTATTTTTTTAAAATCTGGCCGTAATTTTGGATTAACCAAGTGTCCAAACCTATCCCTCTTTATCTTTCACATAATGAGCGTGACAAGGCTGAAGTGACCTCTACAGTGTATTCGAGTGTGTGTGTAGTTTATTATTGCTAAAAATAGTATTAAAAAAAAACAGCACCTGTTTTGCAGGAATGCCATCCTTATGCAAATTTCTTCATCAAAATCATTATGCTCCTTGTTTAGATTCATTTATGTTTATTTATATATTCCTTTATGTTTATTTCATAGTTAGTTTGAGAAAATTTCATTTCAATTCGTTATTCAAGAATGTTCAACGTTATTTTGTCCATGTTTGCAAGGGCGCAGCTTTATTAGTACATCATAAAACTTATTTGGGTACTCGGAAATTTTGGTACCTAATCTTCTTAAAGGCAGATCATTGATGCTTTTCGGAAATTTTGGTTAAATCGTGTCGCCGACCTCGGTACCTGAACGACCCCACAAAACTTGTTTACTATCAAAAGCCGCCCTCTCTGCTACCAATGACAATTTGTCACCCCTCTGGGTTGTAAAGATAATAAATACTTTGTACATAAAAATTTTGATTATTAGGAATCTGTTTTTCATCGTAGTAATATCCCTTTTTGTATATAGTGAATAAATTGTTAAGTTAAACTGTCGTTGTTCTTATTCGTTTCTAATAAGTGCACAGCTTTTTAATTACGGTTGTGCAGCAGTGTACCAGCGCTCATAATAATTTGTTAAAGTACACTGGCTATACGCAATTCAAATTACACTCCTCTTGAAGCTACACATCTTACGACAGAAAAGAAAATTTGTAGAAAAAGAAATTTGCAACTAATAGAACACGATGGAATCAATAGAAACAAAAATGCAATAGACGAAGAAAAGCACAATGTTACAATTGCAGGAAAAACCCTGTTTACACACAGAAAACTTAAATTTTTAAAATAAAAGTTGCGGCACTAGTCTTATCATAAACTAATACTTTTAGGTGTTCTATTCCTATCAGCTACTAATGTAGGTGAGCGGGCATTCCCTCCGAACTACGCCGGAAGGTAGGGCGGAAGGCCCTCTTCAGCCTCCTTTCAGGAATCGTGGGAATGGAGAGGGGGGTTTGGGTGAGAAAAATGAGACGAACGAAATGAAGATAGAAGGGAATGGAAGATTATCTGTGGAATATTACTGCCCCAGCATTTGCCTAAGCGATCCAAGGAAACCACAGAAAAACTTAGACCAAGGCAGAGGAACCCGGAATGGAACCGGCATCCCCCCGAATGCTAAGCAATGGACTGCCTGCTGACTACGTCCAAAGGTAGGGCGAAAGACCCTCTTCAGCCTCCTTTTAGGATTCGTAGGAATGAGTGGGTAATGATTCGAGTGAGAAAGATGAGACGGGCGAAATGTAGACAGAAGAGAATGAAAGATTATCTGTGGAATATTACTACCCCAGCATTTGCCTAAGTAATCCAAGGAAACCACAGAAAAACGTAGACCAAGGCAGAGGAACCCGGAATCGAACCGGCGTCCTCGCGAATGCTAAGCAATGGTCTCTTGGTCATGCCGCTCGGTAGTCTTATAATAGTTTAAGACCACAGAACACACATTCCCAATTAGATAAACCTTCATTTTTAGTTAAATACGTGGACACTAATCTTATAATAGTTTAGGACCATATTGCACAATAAAAGCAATAAAAGATGTCTTCCAATAGAACATTAACATTAGAAATCGCACTAAGAATTTCAACTGATTTCTTGTTAAATGCTGCAACCGTAACGGATATTACTTGACACAAAAACAGCATTCAGTTGATTAATATATTCAATTGCATGTAAAACAACAATAAATATTGTGACCTTTACAGTAAACCACTTGAAGTTTACAAACCCTCCTCCTTTTTCCGGGCTTGGGACCGGCACGGCAATATAAAATGCAGGAATTGCCGAGGCGGAGTTAAAATAATCATAAAGGTATATTGCATACTAAATCTATAAAAATACATTAATATTAATTATATTGTAAAGTTCGTGGGTTTAACTTCTAATACTGATAACGACAAAAACTATTTATTTACACTAATTATTAAAGAACTTAAAAACACTATTAAATTATTACTAACTTAGGTTATGAATTATTCTATTTATTTACACTACTGTTGATATATCACTATTCATTGCGCTATTTATTTCACATCTATCACTGTCAATTTATTTCTGGATTCACTTCTGCAACGGTCAATTTATTTCTTTTCCCTTCGGCGATCGTCACTTCCTTTAAATACTCTTTTGTTTACTTTCTGGAACCTTCTGAAACATCCGGATAGTTTATTTTTTCTTTGAACTGTTTAACTGCTTTCCCAGAACGCAGGTACGGCACACACATTTACACATACGGCGCACATGAAGAAAGTCGCCCGCGGCTAGTCGGCGAATCGATAAGCCGTTCACGCACACGTGCGCCCGATCGCACTCAAACACACTCGTGCTCGCTACAATATTATTATTTCACCTGGGATTAAAAATATATTTTATATTTATTTTTCACTTTTATTTCATGTATAATAAAAAAAAATTAACAGATACGATTAAAATAAACTTTTCAACTTATCAAACAACACTATTTACCTACTAGCTAGTTGTTTTGCTAATAGTATTAATTACGAACAGAAGCTTTTTTAGAAGTTTTTTGCTTAAATAAAGATAAATGACGAGGCTTGAATCTTGTTTTTACATCTCTATCTCTGTAATGATTTACGTCTGTCTTGACTTCTTCCCTAAATTGCTGCCATGGATGAATTTCATCTTCACTATCAAAGGTAACCTCCTTCAGCCAACTTTTGTACCTCATTTTAAATATCTTCCAACCTTTTTTAAACGATTCACTATCCGATACAGGATTACTCTAAACATAATATCACACAACAATAAATTAATATACATTACAAATAGTTTTGCAAGAGAGCATACCTTATCGTTAGATATCTTCTTATTCTTTTTTTTAAATTCTACAAGTTTTTCCATAAATTTACCGCTTGGTTTTATGTTATCCCTAACACAAATCTCCATCAATTCCAAAACATACTGAAAATCATTATGGTGGCATGCTTGATGTAACATTGCTCCCAATATTTGTATATTTAACCTGAAATCAACAAATATGTCTAATCTGGTAACTAATTATTACTAAATTCGTTTTTATTATCAGTTTAAAAAACTGCAACATAATTTTGCGACAGGAATTTATAAAACAATATTAATGAAACGATATATTTTCTGTTTTACAATTTTATTAAAAAGCTTTAATTACTTTGTTATCTAGTTATTTTTGAAAATAATTATTGTTAGTTTTATAAAAAATGTAAAGCTATAATCCTATCATTTCATTTCCTTGCAATACCAACCTATGTAGTAGTTCTTATCTTATAAACCACTACGAATTTATATCCACCTAATAAATAGCTTAGTAAACTTATTACAATTAATCATTAATCTTAAACATTAACACGTTTGTTCGGTATCTACAGATGTGGTGATAAAAAAACCGAACATGTAAAACGTTAAGCATAATGTAATGCGCAATACTTCTATAAGACAAGAATGTCGCTAACCCTATTTTGCGGAGCAACAACGTATGACATTAGACACCCCTTTCTCTTTCACCTTCAGGCGGCTAATGCATAAGTAGTTTCCTAATTGACTCACTTTAATTGTAATGGACTTTTTACATAAATCACTTTCGTAAGTATTTGTAAAAATGTAATTTTCGCGGATTATTTATAAACCAATTGTAAGTGGAATCAATTCGTCAAATCAATGCTCACCGATATCTTTTCTTATTCATTTCTTCTTTAAAAGATAAGGCTTCTTCTCTAGTTTTACATCCCAATGCTAAAACTCCGTATGTTACTAAATCTGGTCTTAATTTGTTTGTATCCAACATTGTTAGAACTTCCTGTAAACAGAATGTTTTCACTTATGTATTTAAGTGTTTACAGAGGGTGCTTCCTAAAATCTATGAGCTTCCCCATCTTTTATTTAAATCACTACTTTAAAAGTAACATGGAATATAAAAATGTGAATGTCAATTCTTTAAAATGTATGGTAGGTAACACAAATAAAAGCTTAATTAAAAATTACTGTATTTTTATTAAATTGCATAAACATTTGGACAAAATTTTATAAGTGGTTATGTAACACTGAGCATTTTTTTAAATTCAACTTTTGCCGCCAATTACACCCGAGTAGTTCCTAAACGCATCGTATTTTGGCTGTCGAGGGCGCCACCCGGTCCTTGGCACTACCGGAGACCAACGCGCCCCTTCTCTCTATCACCACCCTCTCCAGTCGAGCGTACCCGATGTGTACCAACCACCCCCGCATTCGCTATAAAAGGGCCCCCTCTCCCTCGAAACCACCCTTCACCACTTCCCTCTGGTCTGGAAAGAAGCCACCGTCATCTGTCTCCCAAAAAAAGGAAAGCCCCTCAGCTCTCCCTCAACCTACAGGCCCATTAGCCTGCTCATTTCGCTATGAAAAGTAGTTGAATCCATCCTTTTGGACCGGTTTCTCGACCATCATCATCATCATAGAGTCGTCAGTGCTAAGACTGGTTGGACACGTACCTCCACTTTTTCTTATCCTGAGCTAAACTTCGCATTTCCCTTCTCCCCGACTTTTAACACGGTTTCCGCAGACAGCACGGCATCAGCCATCAACTTCACCGTGTTTCCGAATACATTTCTGGCAACCTAAACAAGCGCTGTCACGCTTCCATGCTCTCTGCTCTAATCGGGGTTATTCCATCTTTCCTCTCTGACAGAACCCTCTGTGTCCGCATTGGCTTTGCTTTATTCCCAAGGCAAACCCGTCATGGCTAATGTCCCGCAAGGCTGTAAGCTGTTACCTCTTCTTTTCAACTTTTTCTGCGCAGACATGCGATCGTCACACCTCTCTACGCAGATGACATCGCCCTCATAAACTCCACCCACATCATTCTCTAGTGCTCCGCAAAAATTAACATGCTTCTACCCCTGCTACTAAATTGGTACCGAAGTTGGAAACTCTTCGTTAACGAGGTCAAGTCAGAAGCAATTTTCTTCTCCCGTAGGACCCGAAAACCTCCCGCCATCACCATTAACAACCTCCGCATCAAATGGAACAACTCCGTTACTTACCTCGACGTAACACTGTCAAGATTCTAGTCGCCTTTATCTCCATCAAGTCCTTCTTCCAAAACAGCTTCATCTCCCATCAAACAAAAATCCGTGCTCCTACGCCACCCCCATCTGGGACTGTGCCGATTCCCACCGCCTACAAATTCTTCGAGGCACTTACATGCGGATTTTTCGCTCCACACTCAACTACCCCTGGTTCATCAGAATCACCCAAATTCTGAATGAAACTTGTTTACCTTCACTCCCAGAGGCTAAAGTTAGGTTCGCGGCTAATCTCCGAGCCAAAGTGTCAGGTCACCCAAATACGTCCATCTCGACACATTGTGACTTCGCCCCTAAACCAAACGACCGTTTCAGAAGGCCTTGCCACCTTCTGCTCTGAGCTCCTTCTCTTCTGCTCATTCCTAGTTTCGCTTTTTTAGCGCGAGTGCCCACCCAACTCATCCGCTCAATGCTTCCTTCTTACACCCAGTCCAAAACCGAAAGGTACACAAATAAATAAAACAGTTTCGTGAATACTCCCAGATTTGTTATCTTATATGGGAGAAAATGTTAGTATGCGCATCAAGGCTAATTCATACCAACCTATTCACATCTGTGAAGACGGTAATTATTCACTTCTGTCTATGAACGCGATCGGGGAAACCCAACTTATACATGTCAAAGATTGCAATTTAAAAAGCAAATAGCAAAGTGTTTAATACAAGTCACACTGTAAATTGACTGAATGAAAGAACATTTACAATGTACAATTTCTGAGCAACTTACCGTTTATAAAATGAAAAACACTTTACCATAACAATATCGAAACTTAGATGAACATCTACATTTTCTCAGACTTGAAATTACAAAATAACTGAGTAAAATCAGTATTACCTATCAGTCGTTGCAAATATTGCACAGAGTTACAAGTCAATATTACATAATTTTAGAAGATACGTACATAAACAAGCGGGCAAGAATAATAAATCACATTTCAAAACATTTGATGGATCTACAAAATACACAAAATATTGAACAAAAACGCAAATGAATACTTAAGACTTAAGCATCAACTGTGCACAAAATTGCGCGTTCTCGAGATGCTTGTCCGACCTTATCAACTTATCCTCCTTTCCTTTCCGGGATTCCCAAAAGCCACATTCCTCACTGCACTTTCACACCACAGATATCGAAAAAAGACACAACTATACACTGTTCGCGTTGAAATGAAGGCTTCAGAACCGACATGTTATTTCTCAAACTACCGAGAAAGAAAAACCAAAGCTGAGTCCCTACAATATATTACCACTTCCAACGGCTGCGAATCCCCATTAAAAATCGAATAAGACCAAATTCTATTGCGAAAACTTCCCCAACTCACAACTTATTAGTCAGCGATAAACTAAGTCATAGCTCTCGCAAGGGCTGTTTGGCTCCGGATAATCACTTCTTTCGCAAAAAGATAGTGAAATTTCATTGCGAAAAAATAACCTACTCCACAACTCATTCGCTTGGGACAGGTGGCAAAATCTCACGGATAATTTGCGCGCAATGAATAGAGTCTTACCCATTTCCAAGAGGTTTTCTCACTTAACAATTAATTTCCCCAAGGTGAACTCCCACGAGGAATTCAAGAGCCTTCCAGGGGCTTCGTTTGCTAATCATAAAAAAAAAATCACTTCACAATTAATCATAAAATTTCGTCGCGACTAATCCCACTACTCAACAACAAATTTGCCTGAGCGAATGGTAAATTCCTACGAGTAATTTGTGCACTATAAGTTAAACCATAGTTCCGCACCAAAGGTATAATCAATAAATCACTCCTTTTGCGAATAAGTTGTAAAATTCAATTGCAAAAATTAATCTACTCCGCAACCAATTAGCCTTGATCGAACGCCAATCTCACGGGTAACTCGCATTCGATAAATAGGTAATGTTTTACCCCTTACAGATTATCAAAAAAACGCCTCTATCGCGAATGTCATGGAATACCACTGCGACAAATTTAACAGTATCACAACTAATTCATCTGTGACGAAAAGGAAATTTCCACTCTGGTGCAAAATACACTCGCACTGATTAAGAAGGATAAGCATCATCCCGCTATTCTACTGTCGGTGAAGCGAGGTATTCAATTGAAACCCTCTAGTACACCAGTGTTCCAATTTTGGAAAGCGGACTACGCTGAACTTAATAGTTTTTTCCTAGGAGTAAACTGGATTGAAATATACAAATTCGAATCTATTGATGAGATAATCGATCTCATCTTCGGGATAATGATGCCATAGAAAGTTTTGTGTCCCTCGTCTTTAAACAATACACTCATTATCCGCCGTGGTTCACTAGGAAACTGATTGATAAGATTCGTCATAAGAAAGATGCACATGCCTGCTTTAAAAAGCATGGAACTTCCTATGTATGCAGAACATTTAGCTCACTCAAGTCTGAGTGTAAGAAACTTAGTATGGAGTCTTACAGTAACTACTCGCTTAAGATCAAGATTTCCATGAATAAGAAGGCCAATGTTTTCTGGTCATTTCTAAATAATAAGGCGAGGAATAATCGTGACATCCCGGAATGCATGCACTGGAACGATACGGTGACAAATGGCGCTTATGTATGTGACCTTTTGCGTCTTTCTTCAGGAGTGTGTATACAAATACTGAAGATCACTTGGATGAGGATCGTTGCCTGCCTAGTGTTAACGTGAACAGTTACTTTGATGTTAACTTAACCATGATGAGGTCTACGATGGTCTTTATGCGGAAAAAGGAGCTGGGCCAGTCTTCCCAATGTGTTTTTAAAGAACTGTGCCATTGGCCTTTACGAACCGGTAACTCATATTTTTGGGGAATCGCTTCGTGCTGGCGTATTTCCGACCTTGTGGAAAATCACGTTTATAAACTCTATACATAAGTCGGGTACGAGATCGGATGTAACCAATTACCGGCCGATTTGCATTCAATCCGCTCTACCGAAACTGCTGGAAAAGCTTATTGTGCATCAAGTTTCATATGATTTCAGGAATATCTCAACAAGAGAGCATGGATTTACTGGTAGAAGGTATACCGCTACAAACTTTTGCTGTATATAAACTATGTGCTTGACGCTTTCAATGTTAGTTAAGAAATACATTCCATTTACACCGACTTCAGTAAAGCTTTCGATACTGTTTGCCACGGGATCTTGATTGACAAATTGGCACATTATGGTGTGAGGGGCAAAGCTCAGGATTGGCTTCGGTCGTATCGCTTGGGGACGCGGCTACGTGTTCGGGTTAATGGTCACGTGACGCAAGATTACCTGCTTGAATCTGGTGTACCCCAGGATTCACATCTGGGCCCCGTTCTTTTCAACATTTTCATTAACCATATTGGCTTGGATTTATTGTCTGATTACTTGCTGTATGCTAACGATTTGAAAGTGTATTGAGTAATTTCCAAACCGCATGATGTGCTAAAGTTACAAGATGACACCGACTATCTCGAACAGTGGTGTAACAACAACATGCTCAAACTAAAGGTTAAGAAATGTGCAGTTTTGCAATTTTCGTGTCTGCATTATAAACATCCAGTGAACTATTATCTCAGTGGTCCCCCTTTATGGGGTGAAAAGTGTGTTTAAGGACCTTAGTGTCTTTATTGATGAAAAACTGGATTTTATTACGCATATCGAATACATTACCATGAAAGCTTACAAGGTGCTTGGCTGTATATTTCGGGCAGAAAAGGATGTTAGGAATCCTCAAACACTAATACTGATACACTCTTACTGATACACCAGAACTGTTACAAACTTTTTCCTCTGTGTGTTCCTCGACAGGATCTGAGATCCTAGCTAAATCTCATACCTCAAAATCTTATGTTTTGAATGGCACTGTTAATAGAATATCTAATTCGGTAAAAATTTATTGCAATTCTGTAAACTATTTCGGTGGTAAATATGTTAATTTCGTTAGTAATGTAAAACAGCTTCCTAGTAACACTAGATTTTGAATTATGATTAATTTTTGAGATATTATATTTTATTTTTTATTATATTAAGACATTTTATCCCATACACTGTCACGCCAGAATTAAACTTATATACGGATATTTTGTTGTTAAATAAATAAATAACCATCCTGAGCACCTTTAGACATTACCTATTTAGTGATCAAATTGTTAAAAAAAAACATGAAGAATTATATTCTAAATACTATTGAAAACTTACCCGAGCACTTTGATAATCAAATCGTAAACTTCTTTTTTTAATAAGCATATTAAAAAAATCAATGTCAGGCTTAATGTCTAACTTTCTCATATACTGTAGTAATTCTTTTTCTGCAGCAAGTGTGCTTGGAATATTATCTAAAATTTGTGTACATGTCTTAATATCTGGTGTGCAATTGTAACTTATCATATTATCTATAAACCCTGATAATCCACCAACCAAAAGAAACCTATCTTGAGGGGTCTTTATTTCAGATAATGCTATAATATTCCCTAGATGTGGTGTCTCAGACATCAGATTTGGTCTATTTTCTGCAAATGATGGAACTACAAGGTCTTGAAAATTATTATCATCACTGCATTTAACAGGCAATGTTAAAACAGTTGTATGTTCACTACTTGATCCTATCAGGTCTGTCTGATTAATATCAAGTGATTTCTTATTAGTGCTGATTATATTTTCTATTGCATCTTTGGTTACTTCTAAATCACCAATTTCACAATCTCGTATGCAACGTAACATTAAATTAAAGGTGAATAAATTAGGACTTATAGCACTTTTAATAAGTTTGTGCCACACTAAAATTGCATGACGAAATCCAGCCTCTTTATTGCTGATACAAGCTTGAAGTAAGAAATTTAAAGTATCAGCTTTAATTGGCAGCTTTTTAGATACCATTTCATCGACAATTCCAAATGCTGTATGTATATCTCCACATCTTCCAAAAGCTTTAATCATCGCATTATAATTGGATTCATTTGGCTCATACATTTTTTCAATTATTAAATTACGAAGATGTCTTGCTCTTGTTAGACCATCACTTAAAGGCCATGGGCTATTTGCACAAGCATTAAATAAAGATGTATACATACTTGGGTGTACCTTTAGTCCTCTTTTTTTGAGGTTGTTAAATAATGAAAAGGCCTTTTTTGTATATCCAACCCTGCCACAAGCTCCAATAAGTAAGCTATATATATAATTTTCTGGTTTAACACGGTCTTCTTTTAACATTTTAATTTCTAATACATCTATAGCTTCTTGAATTTTTCTTTTTCTAATAAAGTTTTTAATTAGATCAGCATAGTTTTTTGTTCTTAACTTTGTAGATGGTAAAGGCTTTTCTTGGAGATATTTTTCTTCTTTCTCATCATCACTATTAAAAAGTTCTTGTTCACTATGAGATCCAAACGTATCCGGATCATCTTTAACTCGAATCATATTATCCTTTTTGTAGAAATTAGGTTTTGCACCAAGAAAGGTAATGTGTTGAGCATCAATAGCTTTTGTACTACAGTACAAACAGGCATGATTTAATTGTTTTGTTCTGTGCAAAATATTTGCGGCCGCTGTAATTCCACATTGCAAATTTCTGTAAGAAATTAATGACTGTTTGATCATTTTGCTTATTATAATCACTAGTTTAAACAATCTGCGTTGTTGAAGTCATTAATTTCAACGCTTACAATTCGAATAATTTACATTTAAACATATCGCACTGTATTCATTTTAACTGGATAAAATGTAAATAAACTTCTCTTTCTTTATAAAACTACTTAATAAAGCCAAATGGACCACATTCCATTTCTCAAAATCACAAATAAAGAGGTTAACTGTGTAGCGTAAGTTGGGGTTAGTATTATTTACATATCTCTTATCTATGCTTTAAACCAGCGCCATAGACCACCGCTAAACCAAATTACCAAACCATAGACAACAGCAAACTCTCTCAACTCACTGGGAAACCCATACATTAACGGAAATCGAAAACCATAGATAAGCCGGAAACACTCGCACATGGGGTGCTCAAACTTAAAACACAACGCNTTTAACGGTTTGTTGAAGATTGTTGACCAAATTTTATTGTTTATTGATAATCAGCTTTTAGTTAATAATTGAGTGTGATTGACCAACAAAAGGTTTTATTTTATTTTTTTCAATTTTTTTACATCAGGCGGCATAAAAGAGTTTGTATCCAGTTTCAGTAAAATCTGCAACATGGTCTTCAAATGGTCCTTCACCCGGATGTTCCCATTAAACGCAATGTAAAATGCTCCATTTGGGCAATAATAACCCCAGGTTACAATACTCTATCAGAGATGCATTAGTCTAACAATCCCAGGTTACAATACAGCATTCTGTTAGACAACCCACTACCTCTCAGGCTGGCCTGGAAATTACCATCTTTTATGTTCTATAATAGGCACCATACTCAGCTAAGGTGACGAAAAAGCAAGCTGAATCTTGACACGACCTACATGAGACCCATAGTAGAATACGCCGGATGCATCTGGTCCTCGTACTTCAAAAAAGACATCAATTTGCTAGAATCTGACTAACATGGGCAACTAAACTTTCCCTGGGACTCAGACATTTGAACTACGAGGACAGATGCTGCTGCTTAATCTTAGCCATCAGCGAATAGCTACTAATTTTATTGAAACCTTAAGCTAGGTGTTAATAAAATTATACAGCCCGCCCCTCCTGTCTATTTTCATGAGTTGCGGCCACAATCTTCAACTTCATAAAGAGCGCACCAAAATTGCGGCTCATGCAAACTTCATCTAACGTGATCGTCAACACCTGAAATCCTGAAACAATCTCGGTTTGAAACATCGATTCCGATAGTATTGATAGCTTCTAGTCTTGTATGTCCTGGCAGTCTTCTGTATGACATCTCTAATACAGTACAATAAAGTAAAATTTTCTTAGCTTTAAATAAATTGTTCCTCACTTAACGAGTTTATATTTCTTTATAATTAGCATCCAGCATGTTTTTTGTACTTACCTATTGAAATTTTACCTAAATATAATTGTCGAATAGCAAATTTGTAATACAGATGTACAGGGTATCCCATTTTCGGCACTTTTGCGGGGTATCTCTATTATTATTATTAAAGATATAGCGCCAGTAGAACTTTAATATCCCTTTTGGTTTTTAAGATACAGGGTGGGATTGAAAGTCATCACCTTTGAGTCGCCCCCCGTATCCCAGTTATCTTTAAACTTATCGAAGAAGTTAAAGCGTATTGTAAACCCAATGACGTAGTCAGTACTTTTCTAGTACCTTCCGTTTTTTAGTTATGACGCAAACATATGTTTTTTTAAATGGAACACAAATAGCGAACATAACGTAGTAATTATGAAGACCAATCTTAAATTGAAAATTCTGAAAAAGTGGGAAGAAAAGTAATAGGCGAGATAGGTTGGTAGGATACATTCATAGGCATGAAGATCTAGTTAAAGACATATTAGAGGTAAAAACAGGAGTTAAGTAGAGTAGAGGTAGAGAAAGGTCGAGAATATGCTATCTTTCCACGGCTGAGAGATTGATAAACACGCAAAAATATACATGCTAGAACATTGTCATAAGAGTTAAAATATTTTATTTACTTCATTTCTTTTAATATTTTCTTGTGTTACAATTTGTATGGTATACAATAACTATTGTTAGTTACATAAAGTGTAACCAACACCTGATTTACAAACCGCTACTTGGAACCGTGCACCCCCCCCCCCTCCACAAAGTGAAAAAACAAACTTGAGAAAAGAATTTTAAAAAAATATTTTTTTATGTACGGTGTTTTGTGTAAAATTTATAAATCATATTGACATACCTATTCTATCGGAAGGGATCTCATCTTATTTGTGCCCATGAGCAATGAGTCCCTGATTGTTAGGTAAAAAATAAAAATAATACACTACATTTTATTTTTACTTTGCAATAAAGGATCAAAAGTATTTTAGTTAATTTTTATCGTTATTTTGAGTCACTATCAGCTTTATCTAGGTCTATAAGGGATGCAGTTCCATTAAGTATCTTCTTAGACATGCTATGGGTATCGGATTCGCAACCAGCTGAAGTGGACGATGATGTAGATTCAGAGGAGTTTGGTTTCGTAGATTTTTTGTCAATCCAAATATTAGCCGCAAATTTCGCTTCTGCTTTAAATGCTTCTTGAAATGTTATCTGAAGAAAAAAGATGAAAAAAAGAAGAAAATCGCTGATTTTCGACATTTAAGAAGTAAAATAATTCAGGATGGAAAAAAGTGGTAGAAAGATACATAAAATAATAAATATGTGGAGACCAAACCAGACAATGATATCCTAGATAACGATAAAAGCTTTGATGAGAAACTACAAAAATGGTGCTGTAAACTTTCTCACTAAAGTGCGTTGTTCATCAAATACATCCAGTTAAGGATATTGAAATATTTAAATGAAAAAGATTCGACAATCAAATGGAAGCACATAAAATTATAATTAAAATAACAACTAGAAGAAACTTCAAAGAAGGTATTTACTCATTTTTTAAATATTGGAGTTTTTCTAGATTAACAGATTCATATTTTTCTGTTTGAAGTAATTGAGATATAGTTTTTCTATCTTTATGTTATAGTTTCTTCAGTTTAGCAAGAAATAATTCTTCTGTATACTTCCTTATTTGCATTGTCACTGTCACCGAAAAAAAAAAACACTAATGCCAAAATAGTTTGCTTAGTGTGAAAGATCAGAGCCAAAATAGGGTTGCAAATAATTTTATTGACATCAATCAAATATTTACAACCTTATTTTGTTTCTGATCTTTTACACATTGTAATAAGAGAAAGAAATGGAATCCATAATTTCTTCAGCTTTGGGTTCATCTAATAAGTGAAGTTTTTCGAATCGTTTTCTAAGAATTTTGGATTATATGCATTTATTAGCAGACCACAATATCGTATATCAATTCGATATTGTTTTGCGAGCTGTTTTGTCGTATTTCATAGAATTTCGTAGTTCCTTGCTGAAGGTACGATAATTGGTGATTTGGCAGGTGCTGATATCAATTTGGAACTTTAAAATTCCGTGGACCATGACAATGAACCCGGAAAACAATATCGATTCACTATTTTAGATTATCAATTTCCAAGGAGTTATAGAATTTTTTGGGCTCTCTTTAGTTAAAGAATTACTGTCACTTATTTGATTGCATATACGATACATATGTATCCGAATCGGATTAAAAAATTGAGCAAAAAAATCGCTTATTGATCATGTGTCATGTTATTTTTGGATTAGCCTGAGCGTAAGCATTATTTTTTTACCCATAACTTTAACCATTAATAACAATAAGGTTTAAAAGAGCAATATAGATATCAATAAATAATCTTTAGAAATTTTACACTTTTATACACAATCAAGACAATCTCCAGAAAGAAATTTTGATCACATTCGGGTCAATTCAAGTATATAAATGGTTGGCTACAAAATTACTGAATCCTGATTTATAAGAAGTTATCACAAGAAGAGACGATATCTACTTATAAGATTCGTAGAACAAAGTTAACAGTACAATATTATATTGGGTACCTTCCCTTCCTAAATTAACCCTTCAAAAGAACTCACACAGAATTAAACAATAACACTTACATGTTCTTCAACTGATATAGTTCTTATGTTCCATAAGAACTCTGCTATTGATATTATAATGCCCATAACCATCCCTAGCCCGAGAACAAGAAATACACCACCAACATTTTTTAGACCTAGCTTTTGTGATCCAGCATCGTCTTCTGGAGGTTCGTCCTACAAACATGAGTTATATATCATATTTGCTACTTAATAATAACTGAGAAATGCTAAATATTAAGAATTTTTTTGTTTGCTTACATCACAAGCACCTCCCCCATATTTTTCTTTCCACCATTTCTTTTTAAGCTTGTCTAGGACACCGTCTTCTTGCAACTTTAAAATGGCCCTATTGATTAAATATCGATAAGGAGCTCCTATAAATGGGAAAACATGTTAAAGAAGTCGCGAAAATAAGTATCAGTTGGATGTTACGTTAAAAATGTTTAGTTTCACAATTATTTCAACAAAACTGGGATCGATGCAAGTCAATTCAATGAACCCGATGATTTATTTATTTATTTATCCTATAAATGGAAACAATAACATAATATTTAACATATAAACATAATAAACTTATACTAAAAAAAAAAACTTCTGGGTGTTTCATTCCCACCAACCAGTAATGCTGGTGGGCGGGCAGTCCCTCCGGACTACGTCGGAAGGTAGGGCGGAAGGCCCTCTTCAGCCTGCTTTCAGGAATCGTGGGAATGGGTGGGTGGTGGTTCGGGTGAGAAAGATGAGACGGACGAAATGAAGACAGAAGAGAATGAAAGATTATCTGTGGAATATTACTGCCTCAGCATTTGCCTAGGTGATCCAAGAAAACTACAGAATAACTTGGACCAAGGCAGACGGACCCGGTACCGAACCGGCGTCCTCCCGAATACTAAGCAATGGTCTAAACCTCTAAGTCATGCCGCTCGGTAACTTATACTAAGAAATTAGTAGGTACCTATAGGTAAAGGGAGATACTCAATTCTAAAAGCAGGTAAAATTCTGACTATTAAACTAATCAATAAAATTGAAGATCTGTGGATATCAAAATGTAATTTTTAAGTACTTTCTTATATTAGAGAACGTTAAATGACAAAAAGAGATATCTGTAAAAGTACGATTGACCAGGCTACATGATCTGTCTAGATATGTGATTGAGAAATGAGATTTTCTGTGTTATAACAAATAGGTACCGTTTTCTCAATTCTCTATTGGGAATTTAAAATTGAAACCTATTAGCTAGGTCAATCATAGAAAATCTATTGTTTATAATTTTATATCATCACTGTTCGCAAATAGTTAAGGATGTGGGATGTTCTAGTTTTAGGGAAATGCGAAGATTAGCTCATTATAGGAAGAAGTAGAGGTGCGTGTNTCGAATAATTTACATTTAAACATATCGCACTGTATTCATTTTAACTGGATAAAATGTAAATAAACTTCTCTTTCTTTATAAAACTACTTAATAAAGCCAAATGGACCACATTCCATTTCTCAAAATCACAAATAAAGAGGTTAACTGTGTAGCGTAAGTTGGGGTTAGTATTATTTACATATCTCTTATCTATGCTTTAAACCAGCGCCATAGACCACCGCTAAACCAAATTACCAAACCATAGACAACAGCAAACTCTCTCAACTCACTGGGAAACCCATACATTAACGGAAATCGAAAACCATAGATAAGCCGGAAACACTCGCACATGGGGTGCTCAAACTTAAAACACAACGCAAGAATTGTTGGACATTACCCAGTCGTGCGGGCGGCTGGGTGACTTGAAGATTCCACCTCTTCTACGAAAACAAAAAAAAAAGAGTTTAGAGGTATATAGACAAAAAAAATTAATGTTAATTACTGACTTTAACCACCGTGTGGACTCCTTATTAATGGATTATTATGCGCTTCTCCTTAACTGTAACTTACGAGTGTATATATATTACTACATATATCTATGCTCTAAAAATTACGCANTTGTTGGAGCATACGTAATCCTAAAATGTAGCATCGTACTACAGATGGCGTTTGCCGCGCCATTTGTGGTATTTTCTAAAACGCGCTGTTAAGACAACAGGTAAAAGTTGGTCTGTGTTCTGTTGGAGCTGCCTGCGACGCGCTGATGAGATTCAAAAAGATTGAAATAGCGATCCTCGTCTGGCAGTTTCGACAGAATACAGAGACCACTTCGAATTATTTTATTCTGTAATCACACAGTTTATTTTACCTAGAGGCATAGCTATTCCATATCCTTTATTATCTAATGTGTCGCCTACCGCTCTCAATGAACAGTTTCTTTCAACTTCATATTCAATTCCAGTATTTTCCATGAAAAAGGCGTACATTCCTTCTTTTGAGTTAAGTACTCTCTTAACTCCATCGGCATTGTCTTTCTCGAAAACGCTAGGTTTAAATTGTTGCATTTGCGTCCACATTCTTTTATACAGTGAAAAATTTGATGTACGAAAAAACACTTGCGTTGAACCTCCATCAACCACCCCGTATTTAACTTTTGATTTAGCAAGAGATTCTACGTCTTCAATGTTGGGCCCTTGCTGTTGTTTTGTCAAAAAGGCGGCTAGATTCGCTGTATAAGAACTGGTCACAATCAGAGAGAAAAAACCCCACATCGACAAAGCCATCCTTGTTGAAATACCTCTAAAAAAATTATGTACGATTTTCGTTTTCTAACGAAATATTTCGTTATGTTAGAAGGTAAAGACATTAGAATGTATGGCTAATTATAACTTTCATAATGCTTGATGATAGAATCCTGCTATTTCAGTAACTCACTAATGCTTTAATCTTAAATGGAACTAGAGTGAAAAGGAATCCGAAAAACAAAATGTACCTACTACAAAGCCGAATTGACGAATTTTTATAATACCTGAAGATAAGTAGATTCTCACTTGATATTCATAATACTTTTCGTATGCTAACGATAAGTACTAAAAAATTTAACAAACTTAGATCTGAGAGCATTTTCAAGCAGTCTATTACATACCATTTTTTGAATCTCTACATCCTGTTTTGAATTATATAAGGCTCATGTTTGTTTTTTATTTGGAAAAACACTTACTTAGGTTTAATTGTACTTTTTTATTTATAACCATGAATATGTAAAAATGGACGTAGTCAAATTCTATTTTTACAAGGCGAGATGGATTGGTAGGACACCTTTTCAGACATGAGGGGCTACTAGACGAATATTAGAAAGAGAAACAGGAGTTAAGAGGAACGGAGGTATTCCTAGATTAGATTACTGTTCATAAATAGTTAAGGATGTGGGATGTTCTAGTTTTAGGGAAATGCGAAGATTAGCTCATTATAGGAAGAAGTAGAGGTGCGTGTCCAACCAGTCTTAGGACTGATGACCGTATGATGATAAGAATAATACATAACCGCTATCTATGGTTGTTTAAAATCTTTCGATATTGGCAAATGTTTTATTACCACCTATCAAAAATTTAATTATTATATTTAAATATGAAAATAGAAAGAACAAATTCAGATTTTAAGATGATGTAGTTTCCTGTTTAGTTCTTCAAATTTAAGAATCTTGCGAATGAAGAAATCACCGTAACGATGAGCCACCTTTGTGTCAGCAATATGTATCATATCATTGTCTATGTAAAAATCCAACTAAAAAAAAGATTAAAAGTGAAGTAAACCATAAATATTGCTAATGTAAACAATAATAAACAGCATTAAACTAAAACTTACCTCTGATCCACTTTGAAATTTCCCCTCAAGTCCAGAAGGTCCTTTTGACCAAACGATATTCTTCATTTTATGTTTAAAGCAGAGTAAATGAATGGTCAAATTCCTCATTTCTTTTAATAAATCTTCCGATGTTTCCTGATTTTGTGACATGAATAAAGCCAATTTACTTAATGGCAGAGTAGTATATAACTTCAAGTAACTTCTAATTGTGGGTAGCATTTTCTGCTGCTGAACTTCTGCCATAAAAACGGATGTCTGATGTTTAATGGCTTCTTTAGAATAATCTTCAGGAAGACTATCCACTGGAGGAGGAAATGGAGACAAAAATTTTGGACAAGCATAAACAAAACTGCTTTCAAACTCCTGTAAATCACCATACTGCATCTTGTACATTTTCTCATGACAGTTTTTTTCTCGCAAAGTTTGCTGTATGGACTCATCAATACATTGAGGATGCAAGACCAAACATATGGCAAGTAAATTATACATTTGATCCGTTTGCTTATTGATCTGATCATGCTGATAACTCTTTGAAGCAAATAACTGCTTTGTACGTTGAATATATAACAGTATAGAAGAAAATGTCCGAATTGCATCTGCATATCTTCTCATCATCATGTAAGCGAAGCCAACATAGTAAGAAGTTGAAATTTGACATGCTGGCACATGAGCAAATTGTGACTTCTTATGAACTTCAATGTTTTCCAAAACCTTAATGGCTTGATAATAATCCCCAAGTAAAGAATGTAGCCTCAATAACCCCACAAGGGAGAAGTACCCAAGCATCTTATAAAGTGAATGACGCCCAAAATCGCCTGCTACAGAATCAGGATCACCTCCATTAGCATAAACTTCCAACTGCTGCTTTATATTACTCTTATCAACTAATGAGTGCAATACATTTAATACACATAACACATTCCATACTTTGTTATTGTTATTAAGAGTATCAAGCTCAGTTGGACTTTTTTTTTGCAATCTAGCTCTGTACTGAGCAAAAGATTGGAACTGGTAAACAAACTCATCCACTAACTCCCAAAGCCATAAATCAGGCAATTCCAATAGAACTGGTTTTTCTGCACTCAAAATGTAGTTGAAGAGGTCACAATAGTTGTAAAATGAATTAAAACGCTGCTCTAAAGAAGGCCCACCCTGAATTCTAGCATAAATGTGACGAAAGTAAAGTTCTTTGTAGAGAATCATAAACACCTAAAAAGAAGTAAATAATTTGACTGAGGTTACAAATAAAATGATTTTGTTAAATGTACTGCTTACTGGATCGTTATTAACCAAGGTTGCAACTTCAGATTCTTCTGGCCACGGCCGTTTTTCAAAATATTCTTCTGTTAATTTTGGCCACGAAGTTTCATAAAGATTTTGCAATTCAAAAATAAGCCCCTCATTGACAGCATTATGAAAGTACTGCAAGAATTTCTTCACAATGTCGGGCATTTTATAAAATTGCCTTCCATATTCTCCGTCGCCGGTTGCATCTCCAGCTCTGGAAGTATATTCAGAATCGTAGTTGTAGTCATATCCCGCTTCGTAGTTCTACAAATAAAATATTTAAAAGATTAAAAATCTTGAATTAATATAGTAATTAGGTAATCATTATTTTAAAGGCACAACGTAATGGTGTTACTCCACCATATTTTAACAATATACCTAGTTACAGTGAATAAGAATAGATTACAATACATAATGTTGTTGTATATTACCGGGTCGTAATCATCATTTCCATACATCCTTATAGAAGACAAAAATCACTTAGTCTTAAAAACTGTTAAAATAACTTTCAATTGAGGAGCTTCACCATCAAAAACATTAACCTATTAATTAGGTTATGTGCAGGGCATAGATAGTGGATACGTGTAGTGTAGGGTATGAACATGTATCATGAAGGCATGTGAAATTATCTATAGCATGTGAAGGTGCAGCTTATCTATGGTTACTGTGTAAAAGAACTACAGTCGTCTACAAGCAGTAGAAAAGCTGTTAGAGGTATATAGACAAAAAAAATTAATGTTAATTACTGACTTTAACCACCGTGTGGACTCCTTATTAATGGATTATTATGCGCTTCTCCTTAACTGTAACTTACGAGTGTATATATATTACTACATATATCTATGCTCTAAAAATTACNAACAGGAGTTAAGAGGAACGGAGGTATTCCTAGATTAGATTACTGTTCATAAATAGTTAAGGATGTGGGATGTTCCAGTTTTAGGGAAATGCGAAGATTAGCTCAGTATAGAAAACAGTGGAGGTGCGTGTTAACCAGTCTTAGGATTGACGACGTTATGATGATGACGATGAGATAACCCAAAACGACTCGATTTTCGTAAAAATGACAATGTAGAACCACAAGTAAGTAACTACTACTACAAAATTTCATATAACTCAACTCCCTACTAGTATGTGTATTTCTTCCCATGGTGCTCATGATATTTTTCACCACCCCTCGGCCACGTGAAATTTTCTTGGGTAAGTAATTTAGCAAACATGTTCATCGAGAGAAAACCCAAAATATTTGGATTTAAATAAACTAATTCATATTTCTGCATTACCAAATAAAAATTATTAATAGTATCTACACATATTTGATAGAAATTCATAATGCAGAAATAAAGACAACTTCCACACTTTTTATCGATTTTGACAAATATTTTGTAACTTTATAAAAATACGAAGATATAGGTATAATTAGGAACAATATAAAGTGTGGAAGTTGTTAGCAATGTTTCATTTTATTTCTGCATTAAATATGAAAACCTCTTAATTTTCCTTGGAGGAAAACGTCTTCTACATTGACCAACTGCTTAATATGAAGTAATGGCAGTGTTAAGTTTGGTTTTCATATTAAATTCTCTAGAAGAAAGTTTAATTCCGTTTAAAATGACATATCGTTTATTATGACTGATTTTCAAGAAATCATATCCAGTTATAGTGACCCAACTGATTAATAATAACATTTTCGCTCATTTTTCTGAACCTTCTTATGTATATTGATATTACAATTCATCGTTCTTTTTCTTTTTCTGTTAATAAATGTATAGAATTTGTAGTTTTTCTCTTTATTAAACTAAGTAACTAACCAAAATAGAAAGTTGTTAATTTTCTAAGACTATGAAAGCAACGTATGGCGCCCGCTTAGTATGACATGTTTATCATATCCCTTCGATGTCATTATAAGCGGATTCTACTGTAGATGTACACATGACACTACTTTTCTTTCAAAGTATTTCTTTTAATAAATAAAAAAGATGTATTCGGTACTTATTGTTTATTTTTTAACTAAATCTTAAGTGCCACTTACTTGGGGAGTAAATCACATCCTTGGGCCATAATAAAGCCCATTGTGAGCCACATACAGTTTTTCATCTCCCAAATATTTTCCAACTCTTCCGGATTTTCATCGCATAGGTGAGGATTTTCCCATTCTTCGGGTGAAAGCCTTAAAATTAAACAGTAAATCTAAGGACCGAATACGCTAACCAAGTTAGTTAATTCTACTTTACATTCATTTTATTTTCGTCGCAATTTACATTTTAGTCTAATTTTTCGTTTATACGGCTATACTTTTCCAATTTTTTGTATCTTAATAGTACTTAATTCTTTAATAGATTAATTTTTAACGAAAATATTTGGAAATCATTCAGCCTTATTTTGACGAATACAAAAAAAGCAGGAGCATATAATATACATAAACAATATTAATATTTTCATCTATTTTTATTAAAATAAAATTCAATTTTTCAAAAATGTCTAGAATAATTCATTTTCTGTAGTAAGTTGTCACATAAAAGTTAATAATAAATTATGAACAGTAAGAATCAACTACATCTCAACATTAATTTAACAGCCATCAATTATGAAGGTGTCACATATATCTCTACACCTACAAGTGAATTAATGAAATAATTTTGTTAATTAAAATCATAATTTATACAGGTTGTCTAATTAGTGCTACATCGGACGATATTTCCTTACAGAATGATTACAAAGATCCTCGATATTTTAAGCTGCATAGCCTAAAAATGTTTTTGTATATACAGGGTGCTCATTAAATGATGTATGAGGTAAAAGTTTGTTTATTTAAACGGAACATCCTATATTTTCTTACATTTTTTCATTTCTCTAAGAATTCTACATACAGGGGATTTCATTTATTACGTCCTTGGTTATAGCGACCATTGTGCTATAGCGACGTCATATGTAAGTACCTTGAATTTACAGCATACTTTAGTATAAAATTCATGTAGCTATAGCGGCTTCAGATGTAACGCCGAGTTCGGGTGTAGCGACTGTTTTTAATGAATCGTTTGTAACAAATACCTAGTAATCCCATGCATATATAACTACCGGAGTCGGCCGCTAAAGACACAAAGAGCTCTCTTATGTTTACATTCACACAAATAGTCAACAAGTGTGGTGACCGTTACCGTTGTTTCTGAGTAGCAACTGTGTTTAGTAAACTTTTGAATAAGTATGACTTCCAGATGTACATTTACTGTTAAAAAATGTGAAAATTGTTTCAAAATTGAAAAACAGTGTGTGTCTATATCTTCTTTAACTTTGCCTGTAACGACTTCTGGATATAACGACAAAATTACAGTGGTCCCTTCGTTGTCGTTATACCCGAAATCCACTGTACTTTTTGATAAGATTACTTATGTCAAAATTTAGCTGTTTTTGAGATATTTAATATTGTTTCAAAAAATCGTTGTTTGCATGTACATTCATAAAATTAAGCATATTTGGTTTATTTGAGACTCTACTAGCTAAATGTCTTGCAGATTATAAGTTCATAGCTTCACTTATTTTATATCCCTATGAAAATCGGATAACATTCCTTATACAAGGTGTTTAAATTCTTAAAGAAATTCATAAAATGTAATAAAACATAGTTTTTTGTTTAAAATAACAAATTTTGACCTCATACCGCATTTAATAAGCAGCCTGTATATGCAAAAATATTTTTAGGTTATCCACCTTAAAGCATCGAGCAACTTTGCATTTATTTTTTTTTTAATATATTGCAAGGAAATATCGTCCAATATCGCACTAATTTGACACCCTGTATATAGTTTTTGTTATTTTTATAGTTCACGAACACATACTGTACCGCGAAATAATAGGTAGATACATCCAATCAGCCATATTGACGGATATAAAATGGAGGCAGATGGGAGGTTCGTAACATAGGTACTCTTGGTAATAATGCAGCTGAGTTGAAATGACCGCATGATACTAAATTTTCAGTACCTACAAAATGATTTAAATGAATTTTTGTGTTAATAATTAGCTGCTTATGCTGATAGGTGAACAGTTCCTCCGACTTACAGTCTAATAGTGCAAAGCCGGAAGGTAGGGCGGAAGGCCTCATTAGTCTCTTTTAAGAACCATGAGAATAAGTGTATGTTGGTTCGGGAAAGGTAAATGAGAATGAAGAAAAGTGAAAAATCATCTGTAAAATATTAATACGTCAGCATTTGCCCTACTGCTACTTTTTAATCTATATATCGACGACGCGATCAACATCATTAAAGACAATACAACTGTAACAGATTAGTATGCTTAGATTTGCAGATGATATAGCAGTATTAGCATCTAGCAAGGAGGACTTAGAGATAGCTTTAAATAAAATGGAAGCGGTACTGACAAAACAGTACTGTATCAAAATAAATAAAAGTAAAACAAAAATACTGGTATGCAAGGGAAGGAAAAGTAGGGAAAGAGTGAATATAAAGATAGGAGACGAAAAACTAGAAGAAGAGGCTGGTTTTAGATATATTAAGGAAGTCAGATAAGTCAGGACGGAAGGAGTAGTAGGAATATAAAGTAGAGGATAACGCAGGGTTGAGTCGCCTTCAATAAAAAGAAGTCACTTCTATGCTCGCGAACGGTTAATTTAGAAATTCAGAAAAAGTTTATAGGTGTATGTTTGGAGCACGGCGCTGTACGTGTGCGAAACATGGACAGTGAGCGCGGCGGGAAAGAAAAGATTAGAGGCGTTCGAAATGTGGCGAATGATGAAGATACCGTGGATAGGGAAGGTTAGAAATGAAGAGGTATTAAAAAGAGTAGGAGAACAGAGGACTCCATGGAAGTCAATAAGAAATAGGCGAGTTAGGTTAGTAAGACACCTTCTCAGGCATGAAGGTCTAGTCAGCGGCATATTAGAGGTAGACCTAGATTAGATTACTGTTCGCAAATAGTTAAGGATATGGGTTGCTCTAGCTTTAGGGAAATGCGAAGATTGACCCAGGATAGGAAAGAGTGAAGGTACGTGACCAACCAGTCTTAGGACTGACGACCTTATGATGATGATGAGCATTTGCCCTAATAATTCGAAGAAAGTATCATCCACAACTAATATATCTATAGTTACAGAGTTATATTTCCTATTCCCATTTGTCGTTAAAGTGAAATATTTACGCTTAGTTTTAACCATTTATTAGCATACCTTAGCACCAAAAACAGAATAATAGTAACACACAAATAGAATGTAGCTGTATAAAGCCAGACTTCTAGCGAAAAAGGTTCCATGAAGGCAAAGATTTTGCTTTCCTCTTGTGGATTTTTCTTATATAAAATACTTATACCTTAAAATAATATATAACAGTAACATTAGTGCAAAACATACTGCTTAAATTTAAAAATAAATATTAATACCTAAATTCATAAATGGTAAACTAAAATCAACAGCTTGTCTTCTACCCGTTGTAATTGTCAAATCACAAATACCCAAATGAGCTTTCTGGAAACGAAAGTTATATAATTTATACAAATAGCTTGTTCCTGAAACGTACATGTTCAAGAATGTCTCCTATTATACCATTCCAAGATTTAGTGGCTGGATCATAATTTCCGTATTTATTATCTTCGGTTAACTCAAATTTTATTGAAAAATTCAAATAATTCGCAATGGCCCACATTAAATCGTAGCAAAATCCTTCCAACACTACATTTCCTAGTTCGTCAGTTCTATTAAGCAAATAAGGTTTTCCTATTCTAAAAAAATAAATATACACGGTAATTCTTGATTTGTCTAAATCGTTTACTGGAAATTATATAAAAAATAGCATCTAGCAATAGTATGTTTAGGACTAAGTTCGGAATTTTGTATAAGGGATACGAGCTTATTGGGCTAAACACTCTGTTACCAGTTCCCGCATACTACTTAAGGTAATCGATTCTGTACCTTGAGGAAACAATTAAAGTTTTATCTTGAAAATGCGAAAATATATTCTTTTCTTGATCTTCTGGTGACTGAACGAACTTTAACACTTTCGGGTCTTCTGAATGCCAAATAGCTGTTTTAATTTTATTATTTCCTATTATTTCGACGACATCAACAGAAAAATTAGTTCTTTGACCATATTCGTTGAATGTTAGTGGCCCTGTTAGTGCATCAGTCAATCCTCTCTAAAATTTTCATGGATTAGATCACATAAAAATACGTTATGAAACTAATCAGTTCTCATAAAAATGAACGATTTTATATATAAGCTTCTTTCTCCAAACAAATACCCCAGTATGAGCCAATAAGTTATGAAATCTGTGCAATCTATACTGTATATATAGGGTTGTTCGGAAAGTCATTTCGTTTTTTCCCGACAGAGGATTTAATTGTATTCTTTTGCACCCAACTTCACATTTAAGCCGTATAATTTTTATATGCTTTGAGAGCTCATATAGCAAGGCTTGTGTGTGAAAAATTCCAATTAATTCTACGCAGTAGTTTTTGGTTGGTGCCCTTTTAAATATGGAGAGCGATAAGCAGCATTTTCGACATATCTTACTGTTTTACTACAGAAAGGGTAAAAATGCTGTTCAAGCCAGAAAGAAATTGACTGATGTGTATGGAGAAGGTGTGTTGACAGTACGCCAGTGCCAGAACTGGTTCGCTAAATTTCGATCCGGCAATTTTGATGTCGAAGATGCACCACGTTCGGGAAGGCCGGTTGAAGCTGATAAAGACGCGATAAAGGCATTAGTTGATGTGAACCGGCGAATAACAACACGTGAGATCGGATTGAGGTTAAATTTATCAAATTCAACAGTTTATGACCACTTGAAAGGCCTGGGATTATCCTCGAAGCTCGATGTATGGGTTCCCCATGTTCTCACAGAGAGAAATCTGTGTCGCCGCATTGACGTCTGCGATTCGCTTCTCAAACGTCACGAAAATGATCCGTTTTTGAAGCGCATCATCACTGGGGACGAAAAATGGGTTGTATACAACAACGTCAAACGCAAGAGGTCATGGAGCAAAAAAGATGAACCGGCTCAAACCATTTCCAAAGCCGATATTCACCAAAAAAAGGTGATGCTGTCTGTTTGGTGGGATTTTAAAGGAATCGTTTTTTTTTAGCTTGTACCGGATAACACAACGATTAATTCGGAAGTCTACTGTCATCAGCTGGACAAACTGAATGATGCACTTCAACAGAAAAGGTCAGAACTAATCAACAGGAAAGGTGTAGTGTTTCACCAAGACAACGCGAGACCTCACACAAGTTTGGTCACTCGCCAAAAGCTTTTACAGCTTGAATGGGATACAATGCTACACCCACCATATTCTCCAGACCTGGCACCATCGGATTATTATTTGTTCCGGTCACTCCAAAATTTTTTAGACGGTAAAACCTTCACCTCAAATGAGGAGGTCAAAAACCTCCTCGATCAGTTTTTTGCCAGCAAAGACCAAAAATTTTATGAGCGTGGAATTATGCTACTACCAGAAAGATGGCAAAAGGTGTTGGACCAGAACGGTCAATATATAATTTAATAAAGTATTTGTTTATTATACGAAAACTGTCTTTCATTTCCACAAAAAATAACGAAATGACTTTCCAAACAACCCTATAGTATTTGTATACCAGAAGTTTCTATTTAAGTCATTAGTACAATAATAGTAGGTACAATACTTCTAAGTTAAGTATTTAAAATTGTAACACCTACACTCGGTTATTAGGGTTAAACAGTAGGATTTGGAAATTGAGGTGATCAATAACAAATCAATCAAAATTCCAGAACCATAATTAGAAGCGAGTCAAAATTACGAGTGAGTTAGGGTGGTGAAATGACTAATACGCGGCCTACGTTCGTCAGCCATGTATACCGTCTTCAGTTACCCTAATGCAGTGGTTTCCAACCTTTTTGTATCTGCGTCCCTCTTTAAAAAAAATTGTTGCGCCTCCTTAATTTTTCTAGCAATCTAATTTCATAAATACTCAACTGATATTCCAGCAAGAGTATGGATGGATATTTTAGCATTTGTACCCGAAAAATTCGCGGCGAGGATTGTATTGTAGATTACGTATACCTATTTTGCTGATTCATTTTTTCGACACCTATTAAACTTTTTTGGTTTGTATTCGAAAATGATATTTTGGAAACAGCTGCATGCCCCCCCTTGCAACAGTCTTGCGTCCCATAGGTTGGAAACCACTGCCCTAATGTGTTGGCAAATGGCCTACCATTTCCACAACTCTTCGATCAAATAATAAGACATTTATTTACTAATGCTTATAATAGTAATAACATTTACTAAAATAGATTTATCATTAATCAGTTGTTTTAATTATTTTGGATAGGTTATTTTTTAAAATCAATATAAATATTATCCAAATCTAAGTACAAATCCTTTACCGCTTGTATGAAGTTTACATACGTTCAAGGATCTACTAAAAGTTTATCAAATAAATCAGCAACAGAAACGAAAACTTACTTTAATGACGCAGATTTTGGACACAAAATAAATAAAAATATTATGTAGTAATGACAAATAATTGAGTATGTACTACCATAAAATATCCTATAGAGCAAAACCTTGGGGTGTGACACCCTCCAGACCTAAGCCTCAGTACCTGCGCCCCTAGTCTGCATAGAAGTTTACATTTCAATTTCCTTACCTTTTTCATGTACGAAACTAATCTAAGACCATCTTCCCATACTATTGAGTCATCACATTTGATAGATGTGGCTGTTATTTTTCCAGTTACAGTAAGCTCTCTAACAGATTTCAGTAAAAGTAGCGTTGCATCGTGTACTAAAGCAGCTTCCGTCTTTAATTGAATAACAATTTAGATATAAATATTATTGTAAAACATATAAACACTTAAAATCCAAAATTCCACAAAACGTTTAGAAACCTAAAGTGTGTTTCAACACCCAAGGTGTTATCCTCAGTAAGAGACTACTATATAGTTTGTGGTCTAGACTAGTTTCTAGTGAGTAGATTTTAGTCTGGACTAGTTTAGTTAGTTAGTTAGTCTAGACTAGACTAGTCTCTAACTGAGCATGATGCCTGGGGTTTCGAAAAGCATTTTAGGTTTCTAAACGTTTTGGGTTTTAAGTGTTTATTTACTTATTACTCCAAAGCACTCAAATATATTTTGTGTATTACTGTAAATAATTGATTGTCTTGATCTGTTTAGCTTCAATTTCATCCCCATGGTATATGATGTATAGAATCAAAGTCTATGTTTTTAATTATTTGGTAAATCAACTCCGACGATTGTTGACTGGAGAAAATTTGGTTATATTAATTAAAAATTAAATCTTATTATTGATTTACCTGTATTATCACTTCTTCACTAACATTACATTTTTTTTTTAAATAAGTAAACGTATTTTAAATAGAAGGAAAACTACAGTATTTATGATATTTCAGCTATATATGTACCTCTTTGAGAATGGTCGCTTGGCTTAAACATATGTAAGAGGTGTTTACATATATACTTGAAACATCATAGGTACTGTAGTTTTCTTTCTATTGAAACATGTTCCAACAAGATTGCACCCTTCTAAGTTATTCTATTGTAGCGAGCACGAGTGTGTTTGTATGCATGAACGGCTTATCGACTCGCCACTAGCCGCGGGCGCCTTTTTTCATGTGCGCCATATTTGTAAATGTGTGTGTCGTACCTGCGTTCTAGGAAAGCAGTTAAACCGTTCAAAGAAAAAATAAACTATCCGGATGTTTCCAGAAGGTTCCCGAAAGTAAACAAAAGAGTATTTAAAGGAAGAGACGATCGCCGAGGGAAGAAGAAATAAATTGACTATTGCAGAAGTGAATCGGGAATTAAATTGACAGTGATAGCAGTTAAATAAATAGCGCAGTGAATAGTAATATATCAATAGTAGTGTTAATAAATAGAATAATTCATGACCTAAGTTTAGTAATAATTTAATAGTGTTTTTAAGTTCTTTAATAATTAGTGTAAATAAATAGTTTTTGTCGTTATCAGCCTTAGAAGTTAATTTTGTTAAACTCACGAACATTACACTATTATTAAACTTTTACATGATCATGATATAAATCGATTTTATCAGTAAATTTAGAACAGTATACCTACCTAATGAGGACGAAATTGACCTTTTAAGTTATTTGTTACATTTTTCTAAAGCTTAATTTGTATAAAAGAACACTGTTAAAGAAACTTTTATCTTACCCTAACAGTATCAGATGTTACAAGCTCAAAACTTCTTTCAGATTCATGATCAAAATTCCAGTCAGTAATCGCATTTTTTAAAGCCGCGCTTTCTGTATCAATTATTCTTACCGTCGTTATGTTTGCCGTGGTATTGAAAGCAGAAAAGTCTAAAGTATGAGCATCCTAAAATTTCGCAAAATATATCTTTTGCGTTTTGCATATTTAGCTAAAAGTAAGCTACCAAAGAAGTTAAGAATACACCATGCAAAATGTCTCGTAATAACCCAACTGACTTAGCTTGTTGTAAATAATTTAATATATTATCTGTTTCACAGTCCAAAATAATTTTTGTTATTCCAGACTTCATGAATTGTTTAAACAAATATCTGAAAATAAATTAAAATCATAAATAAATAAGAGTAATATTTATAAGCTATATACACAATCACGCGCAAGACAATTTCACTCTAAAAGTTTTCACCATTCTCTAGTTGGATTATTTATTTATATTCCAGCGGTGGCGAATCTTTTAATATGCGCGTGTCAAACATTACAATTATTTTTTTCTCATGCCTATGGCGTGCCAAGAAACTCTTAATCAGCAAAAATTTGCAAATATATTAAAATACTGAAATTGAATTTAAAACAAAAAAAGAAAGGTGTAATAAGTTCTATTAATAAGGTAAACGTTAGTAAAAATAAATATGACTATATAAAAAATTATTTGATGAAGCCTGTTTTAAATAGCCGCTTTTAATTTTACCCTTATAATTTTGATGCAATCATTTTTTAATATTATTTAATAAAGCCGATATTAAATTATAAAACGCTTTTTTAGGTACCATTTTCATTTTTATTACTTACTATTACTTTTTACATCCCCTACTTGTAATACTATCACGAGATGCAATCTAAAGTGCCTCTAGATATTACCCTTCAAATATTCCAGAATACTGATCAGATATAGTGCACAATAAGAATCTCTTTATCTGCCTATTTTGTTTTTTTGTTATGATATTGAAGGAAAGAAAAGATTTCGAATTTACACTTATTTGGATTTTAAATTTATTAGGTTCTTGTTCCTTACAATTTAGAATTTTCTGGTAATTTATCATAAAATATAATTTTCATTTTTTCTTCTCTATATAAAATATTATTGTTAGTATCAAAATCAAAATCAAAATCAACAGGGTCAAAGAAGACTTTACATTAGATGAGATAACAAAACATATCGTTGTTTCGCCTTTTGGTACAAAGGATTTTTCAAGGTAGATTGTGTCAAGGAGAAGGTAGTATTGAATAATAAATACTTTAAAACAGCTTGTAGTATAAGGTAAAACTAATGTATTGGTTTTACTTTTTACTACTTTCACCTGTTTTGTCGCCTAAGTACAATCTTGGGACTTACAACATTGCGGCATTAGCCTTAGAAAAAGTTTTCATGGTAGTTGTTTCATTAGTTCCATCTCATTTCTAAAATTGTTACGTACCTCACATCACTATTTGGTTCAATTTTTCTAACTGTGACTGGATTGTCATTAACGTTTGGAACCTCCAATACGTCTTTCAATCTTATTAGGGCATTCTCATCTTCGATGATTATTACATATTTTGTCCAGTGCATATATTTAACAACGGTACCAAGAGCTTTTGCTAACAGATCAGTATCGGGATACAAATTTAAATAAAATTGGGAATATCGTCTGGATATTGCTTTCCAGTTTACTTGTATATGTGGCACTTCGTAGTTCTCGCAAATAGATTGGGCAATTGAAGTACCTTCCACGGTACTAGGACCAAATATAGCCACGACTCCTTCCTCGAGTAATTTACAAACTGAAAACAATTAGTAGTCTTATCGATTAATATATAGATAACATCCACAACCTAAGCATACAGACACAATTTTATTTAAGGAAGTAGGAGAAAAATCATATTTATCTTCCTTCCTTTGTTTATTTATTCATTCTTTTTATATTCTAGAAATTAAAAGTTTAAATGAACATAAGTCTTCTTCTCAATTAAAGTTGGACGGACAATACTTATCTACATTTATATTTTTGCTGTATTCACTATATTAAGTACTTTTTTGAACTTACCTTTATTTGTATCTTCAAGTTGCACATACTTTATATATATTGCATACCTATCTACCTACTTATAAATTTTTTCATCTTAACTTCAAGATTCTGCGTCAACAGGTTGTCTGTTCGTTTTTCAGGTTTTTAGAGCGTGCCGGACTTCCGAGCACGTCAACAACAAATGAAAACATTGATGAAGTAAAGAAAATAGTATTGGTCAATCGTCCAATAACCGTTAGAGAAGTTGCTGGGAACCTAAACATATCGATTGACTCCTGCCATTCGATTGTTATCAATGATTGTGCTCAATTTCGATTAAAAACAGTTCCGCATTAACATTACTAAAGAGCTGTTGGATTCTGTCCGCGACTACCCAAATTTGCTACATAGGGTCATAACTGGTGGCGAATCATGGATTTATGGTTATAACGTGGAAACAAATGTTCAATCATCCCAATGGAAGCTACCGCACGAGTCAGGACCGAGAAAAGCGTGCCAAGTTAGGTCGAATGTGAAGGTTTTGCTTACAGTTTTTTTTCGATTGCAGGGGTGTGGTGCATCATGAGTTCTTACCACAGGGTAGAACGATCAATAAGAAATATTGCCTTCAAGTTATGCATAGTTTGCGCTAAGCAATCCACCAGAAACGCCCGGATTTATGGAACAACAAAAATTGGCTTGTGCACCATGATAACGCCCCTCCTCACACATCGTTGCTTGGGAGCGAAATTTTGGCCAAAAACAGCACACTAATAATGCCGCAACCACCGTATTCGCCATATCTGGCCCCCTGTGATTTTTTCTTGTTCCCGAAACTGGAGAACCTCAATGAAAGGACAACGCTACGCTACGATTAAGGAAATAATGACGTCATCGAAGAAGGAGTTAAACAAGATCACAAGAAATGATTTTTTGAAGTGCTTCAAGGATTGGAAAAAATGTTGGCACAAGTGTATATATCTGGTGGGAATTACTTTGAAGGAGACAAAATAGATATTCATGAATAAATAAATAATTTTTGAAAAACCATAAAATTCGCGATACTTTTTGAACAGGCCTCATATAGGAAAATAATGCTATCGTACAAATAGCTTCGTGTAAACAAATATTAAGTAAATAGGTAATAGATAGTCGACTTGTTTCTGAAAGTATGAATACGCTTTGGATTAATCAAAGTAACAGGTATATTCTATTCAAAAAGCGATTAATTAAAAATTCAAAGATCACAGATATAAGAAATAAATCATAAAATGGTCTTCTGTGTCAATAAAACTTGACAAATCGAATACTTTTGAGATAATATATATATCTACCTAGTCGTATTATGTTTGGTTGTCCAGATAATTATTATTTTATAAAATTGATAAGAGAATGTGAATCGCATTTATCATGAAACATTTTTAAAAAAATTTAAAAATCGATGAATAACGGAAAATACTGGGATTGTTTCACAAAAAAGGTATTTACTTTTCAATACCTTCATACTTCCTAATTTCGGTCACTCATCGGTTTTTTAAATGATTATTTGTATGTACTGATTGTACACTTCAAAAGGACAGGGTATTTATAAATACCATTTCACTTCCTACCAGAAACTACCGTTTTGAACAATACCAATAGTTACCTCATTTCCGCAAAATATAAAATATTATTTTGGATACTTTCAATGAACGCAGAATATGTCTTAATTGTACTATACACTTACTATACTTTACATGCAAATACTCACCCCCTTCCCTGACGTACAACATGTCATTTGATCCCTCAGAATAAATATCTTCGAAACTTATTTCAGGATTGTACATATTTTCACGTTTAATTGCATAATAAAATGATTTATCGGAGTAATAATTTGGTTGAGAAAATAAGGCTCCTAAAATAATAGCGATATTGATTTGTAAAATTATGGTTTCTACGTTACCTATTTTATGGGTAACATGCGAAAAAGATGCACTGTATGTGATAAAAAAAGTAACTAGAATTACTTGTAAATGACAATGGATATACATTTTAACTGAATATGTTTTTAAGCAATACTTTCAGTATGCCATTAAATGCATACTAATTGGTAGGTGCCTAAAATGCAGCAAAAAGCCTGGCTACTTTTCAAGTCTATTTTGGGATAAAAAACACAGAACCGGGAAGGAGAAATTTTAATCGCAATTATCAGTTCAAACTGCACAAGGGCTGCCAACACCTTTTTCTATTACGAATGACGTAAATTCGGAGCATTCGAAAATATACAGTTTGTTTTACACATACGTAAATATGGATGGTGTTCAGTAGTACCTTTATTCCTATTTTTCAGAACAAACCTTGTTTCTTTCTGATTAGAGCACTCAATGTCTGCTACATGTGATGCTTTTAAGTTCTTTAAATACTTAATTGTACATTTCTCATAACTAGACATAGGATTATATGCACTATCAAAATGCCAAAATATGCATGCAAATATGCACTAAAAGAGGGTGAAATATGCATAAAATATGCACAATTTATAATTAGAATTTACGTTTTCGACGTCAACTGACGTTACCGGACAGAACTTGAAATTTGGCGCCATTCCTGCAGAGACCTCTTCAGGAAGAGTTTGTCCGGTACCGTTGATAAATGCGTCAATTTTCTTTATTTCGTCAAGACCGGGGTTTTTATACAAAACTGCATTTAATTTGCCACGAACCTTTTGCGATATTGAACTCGGAAGGGCGTTACTCTGTTCAATCATTTTTTCTAATATTTCCAAGGACTTCCACAAAGGAAGGTTTTTAGTTTCTAGTTTTTCAATTGCATCGGGTATATTGCTGAAAT